CTTTCTGAATAGCGTGTCCATTCTGAACACAGGAGACACAGGCCCCTGTCCACAGCAGACTCCTTGAGAACACGCACAAACACAAACACAGTGAGGACTGTGGCAAGCAGAATTCTATGCAAAGAGGCTTTCAAGATTTTTAAAAGTCCAGGAACAGTATCTTAGAAGGAAAGTTGGGAGGAAGAGGGGAAGGAACAAGGAGAAGAGACAATCAAAGAGGGACAGCAAGGCCAGGTGCCAACATTTCAGTTCAGTAGCTCAGTCGAGTCTGTCTCTGCAACCCCATGAACTGCAGCACGCCAGGCCTCCTGTCCATCACCAACTCCCAGTTTACTCAAACTCACGTACATTGAGTCAGTGATTCTATCCAACCATCTCATCCTCTGTCGTCCCCTTCTCCTCCTGCCTTCAATCTTTCCCAGCATCAGGGTCTTTTCCAATGAGTTAGTTCTTCACATCAGATGGCCAAACTGTTGGAGTTTCAGCTTCAGCATCAGTCCTTCCAATGAATATTCAGGACTGATCTCCTTTAGGATGGACTAGCTGGATCTCCTTGCCGCCCAAGGGACTCTCAAGAGTTTTCTCCAACACCATAGTTCAAAAGCATCAATTCTTCAGCGCTCAGCTTTCTTTATGGTCCAACTCTCACATCCATACGTGACTACTGGAAAAACCACAGCTTTGACTATATAGGCCTTTTTTGGCCAAATGATGTCTCTGCTTTTTCATATGCTGTCTAAATTGGTCATAGCTTTTCTTCCAAGGAGCAAGCGTCTTTTAATTTCACGCCTGCAGTCACCATCTGCAATGATTTTGGAGCCCAAGAAAATAAAGTCTGTCACTGTTTCTATTGTTTCCCCGTCTATTTGCCATGAAGTGATGGGACCAGATGCACTGATCTTAGTTTTTTTGAACGTTGAGTTTTAAGCCAGCTTTTTCACTCTCTTTCACCTTTATCAAGAGGCTCTTTAGTTCTTCGCTTTCTGGCATAAGGGTGGTGTCATCTGCATATCTGAGGTTACTGATATTTCTCCCGGCAATCTTGATTCCAGCCTGTGCTTCATCCAGCCCGGCATTTCACATGATGTGCTCTGCATATAAGTTAAATAAGCAAGCTGAGTGGTTCCAAATCGGGGAAGGAGTGTGTCAAGGCTGTATATTGCCGACATTTGCTGGCCCCTTAAACGACTGTTCTGGTGCACCAGGGAACTGCCTCACCACAGGGGGACTTTATAACTGTGGGGCTGCTGGGGCTGGCAGGCGGCCCGGACCTGGGTTTCGGTTTCCCCTGAAATGGTGGGATTCCCCGCCCCCATCAGGTAACCTGGAGCCAGCCAATCAACACGCGCCTAGCAAGAAAAAGGGAACCTATCAGGGGAACGCTGAAAAGCCCGCGAATGCCCAAGTTTGAAAAAAGCCCGCAAAGGTTTGGGCCAATAAGATTACTTTGCAAACATGTAACCAATCCGCTTAAGCCAGCTACCAACTGCTTATGCACACCTTATAAATTGGGTAACAGCTTGAGCTCAGCGCTCTCTGACCCCGTACCACTGCGTTGGACGCGTGGCGGGAGCCCTGACTCGAGTCAGCAATAAACTTTCCTTTTTTTGCGAGTTGCATTGTCTTGGAAGCCTTCTCTCTTCCCGCTCGGGGATTCAGACATCGGACATAACAATAACAAGCCAAGCATCTAATGATGGAACCAGCTATTTTGTAGAGTAATGAGCTGCTCGTTCCAGGAAGGCTTTAAGCAAACATGGAGATCAATGGAAAAGGACATCCCATATCGGTTAAAGCACGTGGCCTCCTCCCCTCAGCTGTCTAGCTCAGAGATCGAGGGACGGTGGGCCACTTGCCTCTGGAGAGGTCGCCGCAGCCCCGCTGGCACAGAGGGCCTCGCACCCCCAGGGCGGCACAGTGGCTGGGGGACTGGCCGGGTAAGGACAGTCCCAGGCAGCTCTGATGCAGCCTGGCTCCCCCGTGGCTCCGACGGGGTAAGCCCCAGGGCAGAGGGTTCTAGGCTTCTGAGTGGCTCCTCTAGGGCCCCCTCCCCAGCCTACCCAGGGCACGGCCTCCACAGCTGGGCTTGTGCTGGCCTTGTACTTGGAAACAAACTCCTCTCGTTTCCCTGCTGCCCAAGAGCCGAGAAGAGAAAATCAGGAACGCAATGGAGTTTTAAAAAGAAAAAGAGAACCATAATTTCTCTTGCCGTGTGCTACCCATCCAGAGTTCCAGGAAGCAAGACTCCCTGGTAGGTTGCTTAATCTTTGGCCCTCAACGTCCCACTGAGGGCCCGGCTGAGAATATAAAGCCTTCTTGCACTCTGAGAACGTGAGGGCCGGCCCAGACAGGAAGGGCCAGCCGCACGGAGTGCCTGCTGCCTGCCCCAGGCTCTGGCGCTGGGGGACTGCAGGGCGGGGCCTGGCCCACTGGGCTTCAGGCACATCCCTGCCCAGGTCAGATGGAGCAAGGCGGGGGTCCCTGCAAGAAGAGCCTGAGTTACACAGTGCGGCATTTTCTTGTGGAACCATCTAAAGCTCACACAAAATCTGCAACTACAGCACAGAGAACGTTTTTCCCCTGAGCCATTTCCAAGGAAGTCGTTGACCTGATGCCCTATCACTGCCTCCCACTTTAGTGCGTGGTCCCTGTGGCTGAGGCCCTCTCTTCCATTATCACGACGTACCATCCCTGCCACGTGCTCCTCACCCCGTCCCAGGGGAGTCCAGAGAGCAGAAGGGTCTGGTTCAGAGCGCAGCACATTTGCTGTTCTGTCTGTGACCTCCTTCGTGTCCTCAGATGTGTCCTGGACAGTTCTGAAAACTGCTGGGCAGTTGCTGTGGAGGGAGCCCCTCAGTTGGGCTTGTGCGTTGTGTCCTCGGCACGGGTCTCCCCCCAGCCCATCAGGTGCTCGGGGGCTGCAGGCTCTCTGCTGGGTCCGTTTCTGACGGTGCTGACCTCAGTCACTTAATTAAAGTGACGTCTGCCCAGGATTCTCCGTTGCAAGGTGACTCTTTCCTCTTTGTAGTTAATAAGTATTTTGTGGGCAAATAATCTGAGACAATGAAAATATCTCAAAAAAAAAAAAGAAAAGAAAATATCTCATTGCTCATCAGACTTGCAGTGTATTCACTTATTTATTTGTATCTGTATGCACTCATGCCTTCCTATTTTACTGTTACTGTCACTGTTTTGATGTTCAAACTGTCCCCGATTTGGGCCCTAAGAAGCTCCTTCAAGCTGGTTCCGTGTCCTGCCACGTTCTCATCCTTCTTTAAACATTTTCTTATGTTCTGGCAAAATAACTTGGGCTGGGCTTAGCTTCTCCTTTTCCTGCCCCAGCCCTGTAATAAGCCGTTGCTCCAAGGTGCTGCGGTTCCTTTTCGTGGAAAGCTGTATTGAGAAGCCAGCACTTGGATGCTAGGCATGCTCAAGCCTTTGGTGGGGCTGCTGCTCCACCCAGACGTCTAGCTGGGGGACTGATGCGCTCATTTCTGTGGACAGTTACAGATTCGGCTCCATGTGTCCAAGTCCACAACTGCACACCGACAGCTCCAATTTTAATCCTACACTGTTGGAAACATTCTCTATGTATTTGTATCTCCCTTTCCTGACAATGAGAAACCTGGCTCTCAAGGTCTTTTTGTTTTTTTTCCCCACGGTCTTAATAAATGTACTTATTTGACGTGTAAGCACTCTCTCCCATGTGTCCCCACCCGCTCTCCCACGCAGATCTCTTCTCCTCCCTTGGACTCCAACACTGCATGTGGGACCTCTGTTCCCCCGGGGGGTGCCCCCTTCTACCCTGTTGAGTCCTGACACCCCACACCAGGCCCCCCTCCCTGGGGACATTCTTTCCTCCCTGCCCCATGTCTGACACCACTCTGGGACACCAGGCTGCCCCTCTCCCACCGTGGTCACCTTGGCTTCAGGAAAGGATGGTTGAAAAACAGAGAGTGAAAGCAAGAAAGGAAAGTTCTTTGTATTTTTAACCAAACATGCAACAAGAACACAGATGCAGAACCACAAGGGAATCACAGCAAACACTCCAGACAATTTGGCAGCGAGCCCCAGCTCTGTCCCTAAGGAGACACGGTTCCATGACTGTTCTGTACCCGGGCTGGGGTCAGATACTGGTGCTGCCTCAAACAGGTTTGGTAGCTGAGGCTCCCTTAACCTCACTGAGCCTCAGTTTCCTCAACTGTAAAATGGGGAAATGCCAGCACCTGCCTCAGACTGCTGGTGTGAGGCCTTTGTGAGGCCAGGGAAAAGCGTGACCCAGTGCCTGCCTGAGGTAACTGCCCAGCAGATGGGAGCTCTGAGGACGACTGTGTATTTTGCAGAATCCTAGAAAACAATGACTCTGTTTCAGAGGGCGGGGCCAGGATGCTGGGTGGGTGTTCCCCCAGCAGCAGCCAGGTTCTGTGGCTCCCAGGCCTTCCTCTTTTTGCAGGATATACTTTTTTTTTTTTTGGCACTCCGGCAACCAACTTTGGGAGGGTTTCCTGGACAGAGGTCCCCGTGGCCGCTGCCTTAAGACTCGCCGCTCGGCCCCAGCTGCCAGTGCTCTGTGACCCAGGCCCACGCAGGCAGCAGCAGCCGCAGCCCGGCCGGCAGCAGCATGGCGCTCTGGGGGCCCTGCCTGCTCCTCTGCCTCCTCTCCCTCCTGACCCAGGTCGCCGCCGACGCCCCCACCGCCAAGGTCAAGAAGGCTGCAAATGCCAAGAAAGGTAAGGAGGTGGGTGGGGAGCTGGCCGCTCTCTCCTTGACAGGCCCCCACCCTCCCTTCTCTCCTTCCCTTCCCTTCTCCCCAGCCCAGCATCAGTGAGGTAGCCACCCCCACTCCCCAAGACTGGGACCGGGGTGAGTTCTCCAGCCGCAGGGGCAGCTGTCAGAACTGTCAGAGTCACTGGCTCTTAGAATCGGAAAGAACCTTGCAGATCACCTTAACGGACACGCACTCCTCCCCCACCACCCCAAGATTTTAAGAGAAACCAAACCTTTGGCTCGGCAGCCTGGAGATGTCCGACTCTCCTCGGGAGGGCTGACAAGGCTCCGCTTTGTTGTCTCCGAACCTCAAGCTGCTCAACTGTGAAACTGAGATGGGGGCGTTGGCTCAAAAGGTTGGCTGGGAGGATTTAGTGATAGAAAACACGTAAGGCATCTGGAACACAGGGTATAACGTAATGCACAGGGGAAGGAAAAAAGAACAATTCATGGTTCTATGGTGTATCACAGCCTTGAGGAAATGAAAATGTTCATGGCTGAACTAGGACAGTGGAGGCGGCTTTGCTCTCCCTCCGCGGCCTCTGGGCCTGGGGTGTCCTTGGGTGGCCCTGGCCTCAGCAAGGCCTGCCCTTGGAGCCCTGCCTGCAGTGAGGTCACCCCGGGCTGTGTTGAGACAACACTAGTGAAGTGCCATGGCAATGCCGTGGGCTGTCACCCCCACAGGGCTCCAGGAGATGAGAGTGCTGATGCAGGCAGCAAAACGGCTGGCCTGGGGCCAAGGGCACAGAGGAGGCACGGCCAGGGGGCGTAGCTGCACTCAGGCCCCTCCCGGAGCCGCCACTGTAAATGGACAGCTGCCCATTGGTCATGGATGATGTACGCAAGGGCACGTTAGGACCATGGAGACCCACAGGCCTGCAACAGAATGGGCGGGTCCCGGGGCCGACAGGAAATAATCCCCAAGGTTCAGTTCATAAAATAAACAACAAAAAATTCAAAGCAGAATGGATACTTATGTGACATTTGTTTTGAAAAAGGGATTTATGTAAATATATATATATTTACTTCAAAGAAAAAAATACATATTTACTTGTATATGCATAGAACTTTTCTGGAGGGATTCACAAGAGTTAGCAACAGTGATTATCTCTGGGAAGAGAAACTAGAGAGCTGAGAGCAGATTTACTGGGAAAGAGACTTGAACATTTTGAACTGTTCGGGTATTTAAATACTATATGGCTGTGTTGCCTTCCACAAAATGTTCATTAAAAAAGAGAGAGGACTGGCGGCATGCATGCTATGTCCATGAACATTAGCGAAAAATGCCACCAAGGATGTTCTTTGTAAAGGATACACAGTTCCAAAGGCAAAGAACAGAATTTTTCAATGTGGAAAAGAGTTGCTAATTTCTCAAGTTTCCCGAAGATGTAGTATGTATTTATTCGAACATGTAAATCACAGATCTCATCACATGGACACGAAGGTCAAACCAGACAATGCCCTGGTCCTCTCCAGCCATGCAGGTGGCCCGTGGAGGTCCAGGGCGCTGGAGGCCCGCAGGACAGCAGACAGCAAGAGCGGAGTGCCCTGACTCTCTCTCCCTGTCCCTGCCAGCCCGGGCACCCGCCCTGCTGGTCTGTGTGCTGTTCCTCCGGGAAAGTACACCTGGGAGGTTGCCAGGGCCCCGGCCCTGCTTCCCGTGCTCTGTTCTCCTCTGGAGCTGGGAGGATGGTCAGGGTGGGGGGGGGTCACTGAAGCCTCTGCCTGCACCCCCACCCCACCCCTGCCAATCGCCATCCCAGCTGATCCCTCCTACGCAACGCAGTACAGGTCTCTTGTGAGCAAGAGCAAGTAAAGGAGGGTCCCTGGCAGAAGGGAAATCACGAGCAATCACTTGGATGACCTCTGGCAGGAACAGGGAGAGACAGAGTCTGCCACGACATCAAGGTCGAAGGGTCATCCCCTGTCCCCTTGTGGCTGATGGTGGTCCACCCCTCCAGTTCCTGCCCTGCCTCCATCCCTCCTGCCTTCATCAAGGGATTGTGCCCACTTCCTTCTGACTTCATCCTAGATGCCGTGAGTCCGAAGATGCTGGAGGAGCTCAAAGCTCAGCTGGACAGCCTGGCCCAGGAGGTGGCCCTGCTGAAGGAGCAGCAGGCCTTGCAGACAGGTGAGTGAACGTGGCCACCTCTCCAGGCGGGCGTGCGTTGGACACAGGGGCTCAGGCCAGCAGTCAGGGGTCCGCTTCTAGCCTTTGGCCCAGCACCAGGGAACTGGCTGGCTCCCCTAGTCCAGGGCACCAGATTCAAGGAGGCCCCTCCTCAGCCTGCTTCCTCTCAGGAAGATCCCCTGATGTGTGGAAGCAGGAAGGTCCCAAGAGGACAATGAACTCTCCCACAAGAATCCATTACCGCCCGCTGGACGCGTGAGCCCTGGAGGGCTGGTGGAGCAGAGGCCATCCTAATGAGCCCCCACGAGACCCCCCACTCAGCCGGCTCCACAGTCCTGTAGGGCATGAGCCTCAACACCTGTGGAGCAGCTTTGCTGATCCTGTCACTCCCAGTCATCATCACTGTGCCGAGGCAGGATTTATCATCCCTGCTCTAGAGAGGGGAGCTGCCCATTTTCCCCTGGCTGGCCAGTGAAGTTAGGGTGGGAGTGGAGGTGGCCGGCCCGGTGCGTGCTGGGTGTGAGCAGAGGTGGGCTGTGGTCTTCCTGGCTCTGCACGAGCCAGCTGAGCCAGGATGGACAAAACACCCAGCAGTGGAGCCCAGGGACACAGTCCGCTCACAGCCACCTGCCCTGGCACTTCCTGGCCAGCCTGCCTGGACAACCCGTTCTCTTTCTCTCCACCGAGTTCCTTTCACATTGTCTCCAATTTTCACACACCTCAGACTCACCTACTCCTTCGTGACCTTGCCCTGGAGGACAGAGACTATAGACGATCAGTAATACTTAACACATGGGGGAATGTTTAAGATGAGCACAATGCCGTTCGAGGCCTCAGTTTCCTCATCTGTAAAGTAGAAGGGCTGGGGCTGGACTTGCAGGGTAAACTCTAAGGCCTCATGACTAAGCTCTGCACTTGTGCAAAGACCATGCAACCCAGATGCCGGTTGCCTTCTGACGTGGGCAATGTCGTGGGGACCTCCCTGTGCAAAGTCCACGGCATACAGAGATCCAAACACCCCCTCCACGTTTGGTGATTCCCAGAAGGTTCATGGGCTCCCGGTCTCCTTGGGGGCCTTCTCTCTCATCACCCTCTCTTTTATGACAATCTGCAAGTCACCTTGCCCAGAATCCCACACAAAGCATTCCTGAGCTCTGCTGACCTAGCCAAAGAGTTGAGAGAATGAGGAGTTAGGGGAGAAACCCTCCCCTCCTGCCATCTGCCCTTCCTCTCCCCCAATCAACAAACACATGTGAGGTCCCCACCTAGCAAGCCTCTGCCAGGCACAAGGAGACACAGGTGACCCAGTGGAGCCCTGCTCTGGGGGCCTCAATATATCCATGGAATCAGTGTATTCCCTGGCACCCTTAAAGCAGGTGTAGGAAGATAAAGAGGGATTCCATGCAGAGGGCATAGCAGGAGCAGAGCTAGGGAGGGCCAGCATGAACCCACCAGATTACAAGTAGGCCAGAGTGACAAAATGTCAGTTACGATGGTAAGGTACTGAGAGCTGACACTTATTGAGGACTATGTTAGTGTTGTGGGTGGGGTTCCCAGGGAGCAGCCCTGAGCTGGAGCCGAGCCTGCAGGAGGTTCATGAGGGATCACCTCCCAGGATCAGTACCTGATCAGTACCCAGGATCAGAAGGGAAGAGACAGGACTCAGGAGTGGGCAGAGTACCCTGTGTCTCAGTAAAGGCCCCAGAGACTGCAGAGGGAGCCCTGACCTCTGCAGGGCCCTTCAGAGCTGTAATGAGTCAGGACAAGGGGGCTCATGGGCCAGTCCCTGGGTGGGGGCTGCTCTGGGGAGGGGCAAGCTGTGGGCGAGGGGCTATCTCCCACTGAGGCAATCCCCAAAGGGAGGCTGAGAGCTAAGAGTTGTCTTTGGGCAGCGCTCCCAAAAGCTGGGATGGACAGACCTTCACCCCAAAGGGGTCTAGGTGGCATTTCACAGTGTCCCCAGAAGGAAGGAAAGAGTGTGGGGCCAGGCTGGGAAGGGTGATGAAGCTGGGCTAGGATGCACCACGAGGGGACATGGCAGAGCTGGCTGACTTGGAACAGTGTCTGTGAGTAAGACACCTCAGTGATGCTCCAGGCCTGGAGTTGAGAGTTCCAGGAGTGTCCGGTGCTCACGGGGACACAGGGACATGTGTTAAGTGAGAGTAACAGAGTGAGCAGGTGAGTGAGTGGGGGAGGTGGTGGAGTGCAGACCCACCCCTAAAATTTTGAGGATCAGCAGCAAGAGGACAAATGGAGACATATACTCCAACTGTCTAAATATCTCAGTTATAAACCCAGCTAAAGAATAAACTGCTAAGCAGAAACAGTCTATGTTCCTAATTAGACCAAATACACACCTTCATCACAACCTTTGAGACCAGAATCAAATTTAGAACTCTTGGACTCCTCAGAGTTCTGAGCCCGAGACAGCGAGCTCCTGGCCCACTGTCTGGGCCATCTCTTCTGTCCGGGGACTGGCCAGTCTCAGCTCTGTGCTCCCAGTCGCCACCCCAACCAGCCCTCAGGAGCACTGACCCAGAAGAGGCTGCTGGCAGATGCTGGGAGCCTGTCTGGGCCCCTGGGGCAAGGATTTGGGGTCCTCAGCACCTGGAGTGTGGTCTGGACTCTGGGTCAGCATGTCGCCTGGCCCCAATCTCAGGGAGAGTGGGGCGGGAGGAAGATCAGAGCAGGTGGCTTTGGTGGGGCTCCCTGGGAAGCCCATTCTGAGATGGGGTTCATTCATCAAGGAGAGTCTGGGGCGCCAGCTGTGAAGGGGGGCGGTGGGAAGCAGACTGGGCAGAGGGGCACCCAAGGCCAGCTTCTGCCCCCCCTGTGCAGCCTCCAAGCTAAAAGGCCCCTAAAGGGCCTTTTAATTCTGCTAAAGGCAGAATTATCCTGCCTGGGAGAGAGATGCCCCCGCTCCTGCCTCCCCTGGGCACTGGATGGGGCACCCAGGAGAAGGGTGTGACCTTGAGGGAGGGAGGGGCCGTCTGTCTGCAGCTGAGGGGGCTGGGCCAACGCCCAGCAGCAGGGGCTCCATCCCCGCTGTGAATCGGGGGTCTCAGATGTGCGTCAGTGCCCATCACAGCACGGCCCTCGGGCCTGGGCCTGGAGCCTCTCCGCGGCGACAGGGCTGGATGGAGCGGGGTGAGCCGGCCCCTGGCAGTGGGCTCTCGGCTGGGGAGCCTGGGGTGACGGCCACTTCTCCCCTCCCAGTCTGTCTGAAGGGTACCAAGGTGCATATGAAGTGCTTCCTGGCCTTCGTC